CTCGGAGTTGTGAGTGTTCTGGGCACCTTCCCACCCGACCAGAAATTCAGGCCGGCGGACCAACACACTGAATATCAACATTTAGTGCTGTTACTTGGATTCACAGCCTCGGAGCTGTGGGTTTTCAAACACCCTTTCATTTGAGTTCCAGAAGGCAGGACAACAAGAACATCAATAAACATACAAGAACAACACTAAAGGGACTTGGCAGGTTGCATATGTATGTATGTGTGTATATGTATGCGTGTATGTGTATACACCTACACATGTATGTACACATACATATTTTTTTATATTTAACAATAATAGGAGTGGGGTAACAGGAGTTGGACGTGGTAGAAATGATGTGGATATGATACTCATGCTATTCTCAGAAAATTAAAAGGAAGAACTATGGCCTTCAGGTTTTCATTTTTCGCAGTCTGATCTCTCATCTCTCCCGTTGTCAGACCCAGACAAAATCAAGAAGGCCAGGAAGCTGAAATGTCACACTGAAAGATCCCCGGAGGGTATCTTCCGTCAGAGAGACCCCCTCCCAAGGATCAACGAGGCCATTCGGATGCAAACAGCAAGAGGCTTTTATTTTGATACACAGGTACCCGGGGCAAAAAGTCTTTCGGAAGACTTCCGCGCCCCCTAGATGGAAAGCTGGGGTTTTTATAGGGTTTTAGGGCAGAAGCACTGATACAGAAACGAGAGGGCATGGTTACAGGGGGCTGATTGGTACGTTTACACGAGACCACAATTTGCGTCAAAGTTTGGCAGGGGCACCAAGATTCCAGGAGCTGGGTGGTCAAGGGGGGTAGGATGACCCCTTGACGTGGCCCGCCACCTGTTATTTTGTTTTTCCCTATCTTAGCTGAAACAGTCTCACAGATATCTATGAGAGTGATTAACACAAACTGTTTTTAGTATGACTGGGGCAGCCTGACCACAGATATCCCAAGTGGGTGACACAGCTAGGATTTCTCAGTAATTTTCCAGTTTCTCATCTGGCCTTCAGAGTTTTACAAAACAGTGGTGTTTCACAAAATGGCATTAGCTATATTTAACTTAGTGTGAGGCTGGGGTCTTTCAACACCTCATAAAGGAAGGAGGGTAGCAAAGGTACTGGGAAAGGCAGATTGGAAATACTCTGCAGAATGTGTCCCAGATTGCCTGCATCCATGCTGCTCTCTCTCTCTCTCTGTTTCCTTGACAGAATCTGCTTCGTTAGGGTTCAGATCCAGGGCCTCTTCTCTACCATCTCTCTAGGAAATGTCATACAGACCTCTGAATTGTGATGTCATTGAGATGACAGTTACTTTTATATTTAAATTAGCTTTCTCTGAGTCCTGTGCTTAGATGTGTCACTTGAGAACTAGCTACTCTGTCATAGACACTGCCTTCCTGACCCATCTAATTAATAGCCCTAAATTCTCCTTCCCTATATCCATCCTTCAAGTCCTAACAATCATCTCCCTCATTCTCACCTTTGCCACCATATTTGTCTATGCCACCACATTGCTACTGACCATTACACTTCTCTTTCTTTCTGCCTCTGTACTAGTCTAAATTGGGAGCCAAAGAACCCATCTTAGACTCTAGATCAGCTCATATGTAAATTTCCCATGTCTTTCCCAAGCCTTATAGAAGCTCCCCCTTCCCAACCTTGTATCTCCCATTTAATTACTGTTCTGGCTGTTCCTTGTCTTCACAGAAGGCAAGTTCTTCCCTGACTCAGGGACATCTCTCTCAGCACAGGTCACTCATACTCTGCTGGAAAAGCTGAATTGCCTTTTTCTCATCTACTGCTGAGCTTAAATCTCTGCTCCTTAGAAAGACACTCCTTGGTCACAGTATTTGAAAAATCTTTCTCCCCCATCCCATATTCTCTTTTTGCACCATGTTTATTTTATTCTCAGCGTTAACCAGGTTATCTTATCTGTATAGCTATTTGGTTGTCTCAGATTAAACTGCATAAAATCAGGGATTACCTCCCGTGACAACAATTTATCCTTGAGTCTAGAACAGACCCATAGGCTAATGTGAGTTTTAGACATTGGTTTCACTGGGATAATAAATACACAGAGGCCTGGTAAAGCACTGCTTCTGGCAGTTTCTGTGAGGGTGCTCCAGAGACAGACATGTGGACTGGTAGTGACTCCCACAGTCGCCCATTTCCTTCTCTCCAGCTCCTCTCCCTCTCAGTCCCCTCCCTGTCTCCTTCTCTTTCCTCTCCTTCTTGTATCTTCTCTCTTCCTATTATTCTTTCTCCTTCTCCCTCATCCCATCTTACTCTCCATCTTCACTACTATTTCCTTCTCACCTACTGTCGGGGACCTTCTGGCACCTTGCTGCCCCCTGAATTTTGGTGTCTGGCTTGATGGCCTATGGCTCGGATACAATAGTGCATTCCTGGCTAACCTGGGGCTTTCGATAAGATCATCTTCCTGAAATACCTTAAATCCTCCTCTCCCTCAGGGCTTCCTAAGTAACTCTTCTGAGGAACTTTCCAAACAATCAATATTAGCACATCTTGGTGAGCCATCCTATGATTTCTAGTCACTTAGTAACCCTGCCAAAAGCAATTACATTTCTTTCGCCCTGCCTATATAAAGGATATACTAAAAATAATAAACAGAGACTTTAATCAAAGATACGGTCTTGGTCTTCATTTCTCGAACCATGTCCCCTTTTTCATTCCCAATCTCCCATTCAGGATCTCCGGTGACAGACCTGCAGGACAAGTCAGGCTACCCCCTGTTCATCTGCAGACTATACGATAGCTATTCAATAAATGCTGGAGCATGTTCTTCCTGAAAGGGCGAACGTTAGTCCCGTAAGAAATTATTGCATTCAGATCTACAACAACCCTAAGACATAGGTTTCATCCCTCCCATTTTACATGAGGAAAGACAGAAAGCAGCTTACCTGAGTCACAGGATTAGAATTTGAAAGTGGTAAAATCCTAACCTAGGCAATTCAGTGTCATAACCAACGTTTATTGTACTGAAGCTCCACAATCTCTATCTCCACTTTTTGGAAATAAATGAATAAACTAGACTGTCAGGCACAGATTGTTTCTATGTGTCTGCTGGGGAAAGGAGAGTGGTCTTATTAAGTACTGTGTTCTCCAGAATGACACATAGGAGGGTTCATATGCTAAGCACACAGACAAACATGCAAAGACACAGAGGCATGAGAAAAAGTGGCACATTGCAACGGAGTAAGTTCAGTTTATTTGGAGTATAAAAAGGAGGTAGAGATGAGTAGATTGATAAATTAAAGTTTATAAAAACCAAGTAGAACACAAAATGTTTATACACCATGAGAAACAATCTATAACTGTTACAAGCAACCTGTTTAAAAAATTGGGAAACAACTTTAATCCCAGCACTAAAGGAGGCAGAGATAGGCGAATCGACTAAGTTCAAAGCCAACCTGGTCTACACAGGACAGTCAAGGCTACACAGAAAAACCCTTTCTAGAAAACAAACAAAAAATTGGGAAACTACTGAGATTCAATCAGAGCAAAGACACTGTGTAGTAATTTAGAAAGCACCACTTGCTGTGATGTAAAGCAATGCTTGTCCCTTTCTTTTTGAATATGTTATGTGCATGTCCACACACATGTGGAGATCAGCATTTAATCTGCTGGAGTCTGTTCTCCTCCTCTATCTTGTGGGTTCTAAGAATCAAGCTCAAATGACTTGATGGCTAGATGACAAAGGGATGAGCCATCTTGTCAGCCCCAAACAGCAGTGTTTCTTAAATTTGAGCAGGATTCCTTCTTTCTGAAGAAAAACTCTCTTGTAAGCGTCAGTGCTGATACTTTTAGTTACAATGTTAGTTAAGTGTCTACAAATGTATAACAAGATGCAGACTCATTATTCTCGTAGCCTTTGAAAAGCTACCTGTCTCAAAAAAGTAAATAATTTCAAACCAAATTACACTTCAATTAAGCATATCTTAAAGCAATAATGTTTTACTTAAATAAAATTGCCACACAGAGCACATAAGGTATTAGTTTGATGCAGTTTAATCTGATGATGAAAGAAAAAAGAAACACTGCTCATGGATTCTAGAATGTGAAAACCTTAGAAATCAGTCTCAGGGGCTACAGCCACAAGAATTTATATTTCTGTCTCTGTGCTAACCTAAAACTGACTAGCATAACATAGTGTGGAGTGGAAAAAAAAAAAAAAGCTCTGCCATAAACTTCAATGTTTACATTTGCTTGAGTTTATGACACAAAATTACTACGACTCTAATTGTTTTAGATTGCCAGTAAGAAACAAAGATACACTTCTTCCTATCTTTATGCACTTCCCCAGCATTTACAACTGAATGAAAGCTATATTGTTCAAGGGGTTCTCAAAAAAAAAAAAAAAAAGTGTTTGTTTTGGTTTGGTTGTTTGCATGTGTGTAGGTACACGTGTGTGTAGGTGCGCGGGCTTGTTTGTGGACGTCCTTGTGGAGGCCAGAGGTTTACGGAAGGTGTCTTGCTGGATAGCACTCCACTTCCAGAGCCTGAAGCTTTAAGGCAAGTCTAGCACACCAGTTTGGCACTTGGAGGCAGGTACCGAGAGCTGAAGTTACCGGTGGCTGAAACCACCGGTTGAGAAGAGCCCTTCCATAGACACGAACCTAGATCTTAACAGAACCGAATAAACATGTGTTGTTCAGCACTTCTTTATTGTTAGCTACACATTGTTCTGAGTTCCTTTTAAACCGTGATAGCACACAAACACACGCACACAGCATTACTAAAATGGCTTTCTTTAATTCTGTGTAATTTTTTTTTTTTTTTCCTTTTTTACGGTAGTCTTTGCTTTTCGCTGGTAAGGATACAAAAAAAAAAACGCGTTCTGGTGGTTTGACCCTCTCGGAACCACGTAGACAGACACTGGTCTGTTTCCGCGGCGGCGCCTAGGCACCACCGTACCGGAAACGCGCCGGGCCCCGCCCACGCCGGGCTGACCAATGAGGCCGCTCGGGCCCTTGGCGCGCTGGGTGTCATGGCGGCCTGCAGGCAGTGCTGCCGGTGCCTGCGGCTGCGGCCGCTGGGCTGCGGCGCCCTCGCTCCCCTCGGCCGGCCCGGGCAGGCTCGGGCACTCACCAGTTTGCAAGTGCGAGCTCGGTGGGACAGCGCCGGCTCCCGAGCGGTGGCGGTGGACCTGGGACACAGGTAAGGAACGGCGGGCGCTCGCAGGCTTCCCACGCGGTGCCCTGCCCAGCCACCTCTGTAGGCAGCTCCCCGGGGTGGGACGCCAGCAGCCTGAGGCTCTGGAACCTCTTCACCCCAAACCTGAATGCGAGACTTCCCTTTCCGGGTTGGAAGTCTGTCTCCCTGGGCCCTCCCGTTTCCTAAGCTGGCCGCTGCCCTTTGCCTCTTGCTCCGTGGTGGACTTCCTTGCTGAGTCTGATGCACACAGTGCCCCTGACATCCTTCTGTGTGTTTTCTGAGACCTCGGTCTCGGTCTCTGAAGTAGGAAACCTACCACTACCACCTCGAGTTAACGCGTTGTCAGTGTGTGCTCCAGCTCAATTGATTGCCAATAGCCAGGCCAGGGTGAGCCGGAGTTGGGACTGTGATTTTATTGAATGATTATATGATTGTTGTATGATTCACACAGTCCTGTAAAACCTGCAGTGAAGGTACGATTACCTTCATTTTGTAGTTAAGACAACAAAAGGTCAAAAGGTATACACTTCTCAGAGTTAACAAAACTGGGACAACCCCACACACACACACATACACACACACACACAAACCCCAGAGGCTACCCATGTAGTATGGGTCCTCTGTGTATTTGGAGATATTTTATACATATAACATTGAAAAGTAAATTGTTAAGAGGCAAATTTAACCACAACAAAAAGAAAATACCATCAATTTAAGTTTTCTCAGAAACAACCAAAAGCACCTGTGCCCCTCCCCCGAAAAACCTTTCTGCATTATCAGAATTCATTAAACAACAATAAATACACAGACTTTATCAGTTCTCTTAGCCATTTGCCAGGTAGTTCTAATTTCCTTTGATACAACCTGGCTGTTTTGCAAACGGGATTTCTTTTATTCAGCTGTCAATTAGTAATATCAGCTTTCAGATTGCACATTACAGCTTGCACAGAGTGACTGCAGAATTAAAGAGGCTGCATAGTTCAAGGATTTGAAAAGACTCACCAGACTCGAGGCAAAGAGCGAGGACAAATACAGAGAGACTGCTGCTGGTAGTCCCATTTGGAGAGCTGTTGGAGATCCATAGGGCCAAGCTACATGGTGGAGCTCAGCTGAATCTGTAAGGTTCAGAACTAGGTCCAGAGGGATGGCCATACAGATATGAAGACCAACAACAGTTTGAGGGGCCATGCACCCAGTGGGGACCAAGCTCAGCTGAAGCTTTAGGGACAGTCAGTCCTCTGCCTGTCAGTCCTTTGACACACAGCCGGTGCCCAAGCAGCAGATCAATGTGTTTGTCACTATTGGCATCCTTAGATGTCTTTCTAAAGGGTCCAGGGGAGGGTGTGGCACTGTTCCTTCACTCTGTTTGATGAGTTCTTGGCCCTGTTTTCTCTCAGACCCTTTAATATACCGATGTGTTCATATATGTGTTCTTGATATATTTGATAAGCTTATAGAGCATACCTTTTTACTTTTAGAACTAAGTTATTTATACATCTGTGCCTTGTGGGTAGTTCTAGACAGGAGCTGGTATTTACTTGCATGAGATACATCATCCTCTGTGTTTGGGCTTTTGATATCACATCAAAACACATTTTCTAATCTAGTTTATGGAGATTTACTCCTACTGTTTTTTCCTAAGTGTTTTAAACTTGCTTTAAGAGAACAATACCTAAAATGTATGGCTTTTTATTTTTGTATTGAGTATGTGGCTTTCCAGCCATCTCACACCTTTGGCTGAAAAAAGACTTTTTTTCCCACCATTAAATTGTTTTGACACCATTGTTGAACATGAAAGTCTTTATTGTTATTATTGCTACTAAGTTTCTAAGCATTCAAAATATTGTTACTTCTCAGAAGTAGCATTTTAGGGTAGCATAAAAATACTGCTATATATCAAAACATGAAAGTCTTTGTAGTCAATATTCAAAAGTTTATATTTTTTTTCAGAAAGTAATACGGAAATTTTTAAAAGTATGTTAATAGGGAAGAAAAGAGTTTGTGTGTTAGGTTTATACAGCCAACAAGGCAAGGGATAAGAGATGGGAATTTATAATTAAGAATCTTGTTTTCTCCCTAAAGTACTTTCTGTCTCCTCCAGACGAATCCTTTGCCTTGGTTTCTATCATCTATAAGCTGTACTTAAATCTCCTTTGTGCTTTTGATGATCACAAATCCTGCTTACTTATGCTTTTTTATGAAGGGGAAACATGAAGATTGTGGGCTTTTTTTTTTTTTTTTTAAGTAAAAAAAAAAAGTAAACACTTGTACTAGTGTCATTTTGTATTTAAATTTTTATTTTCAAACAGAAAATTAGAACTATCCTCTGGAAAATTGGCAAGATTTGCAGATGGCTGTGCTGTGGTACAGGTAGGAAACTAGTCTGTTTTAGTCATAGTGACTGGCTATCTTTGTACCATTATAAGTCATCAATAATCAATGGTATCAGGAGCTGGTTCAGATACTAGTATAGGTATTTCTAGTGTCAGAATAGTAATTCTTGGAAATTTTCTTATTGTCTAAATTTCCTCTTAAAGAGTAAAAAATATGATTCCATTCATTGACATAACTAAGCTATTAATTAAGCCATTTCTTCATGTGAAAACCTCAGTAAATATTCTAATACTGAACTTGGTCAGATAGGAAGGATCAAGATTGGACAGGTTGTAATTACATGAAATAAGAGATCTTTTGTTGAGCCAGGCTTAGAGGTATAAGCATTTAAACCCAGTGTCCTGGACCTCTGCTGGCAGAAATAAGTAGATCTCTCTGAGTTTGAGGTCTACATAGTAAATTCCAGGCAACCAGGGCTATTAATAAGACATTATTTCAAAAAAGATAAGAGATCTTCCATTGAGTTTATTTGGAGTGGGGTTTCATTCAATTGCTGTTTATACATTAATGCCTGATTTCAAAGAAATTTACTGTTATTTGTGTGTTCAATCAAGTCAGGTGATACTGCAGTTATGGTCACAGCAGTCAGTAAAACAAAGCCTTCACCTTCCCAGTTCATGCCGTTGGTGGTAAGTATTTGCTTACTTATCTGAGTCTCTAGAATGGTATAAGTGTAAAATTTGTAATACCCTGTTAGGTGTCTGAGGTTAAAATTAAACTCTATAGCAAAGAGTGGCCCTCAGACGTTTGAGACTGTGTGTTGGTTACAAGACTGACCTGATTGCTAAAGGTATGCTTACTCCAGAATATCCAGCTTGATGAGGTTGGTGGGAGTGCGGGAGGACTTGTATGTTAAGGAAGCAATGAACTCGTTTTTGTGGGGTTTCTTCCAGCTTGAATCTGCAGCTATATGTTAAGTGAATTCATTAGGATTTTTGTGTCTTTCTAATATGATGAGCAGAAGTCAGTTATGTCTCACAGGTGTGATGCACAGAAAGCAGGGGAAGGGGACTATAAAGTAGTAAGATGCAGCAGTCACGTGGCTGCTAAGTGAAAGGCTTTGTTTCAATGGTCGGTTGAAGCGCTCCATATACTCTTCCTCCCTGAAGAGGTGTAAGAGAAAGCTCAAAGCAACTAGACTACTTGTAGTCTAGAATAGTTGTTAGTAACTTCAGGAAAATTGGTGCTTTTGTTGCAAATCTTCGGATATACTTTGTTACCAGAAAAAGGAACCTTAATTCTTGATTGCTATCTCAGGTGGACTATAGACAAAAGGCTGCTGCTGCGGGTAGAATCCCCACAAACTACCTTAGAAGAGAGATTGGCTCTTCTGACAAAGAAATTCTTACAAGTCGAATAATAGGTAAGCTAGCAGCCAAGGCACTTCCCTCCCCAACTGTGCCAGTGTTCACATCGCTTCTTTTCCATCTGCATTCTACAGTGTCTCCCAGGCTTCCTTTCATTGTATGACTGTCAGTCTGTTCCTTCACTCAGATGTATGTTCATGAGAGGAAAATCCTCACTGCCAAATCCTTATACCTAGTATACTACCTGGTGAAGAAGCATTCAGTAAATATTGGATGAATGAATCTGTTGAACGTGTGAATTCCATGCCCATGTCTGTTCTCTGATAAATTTATTCCCTTGTGGTTTTTCATTTTTATGTTCAACTTACTAACTCCTAAAAGCATTGTATTTATCAGCTATTGAAGTATATCAACTTCCAAGTGTTTTTGTGAAGGAAGAGGCTTGAGTGTTGTGGGGTGCCAGAACCCACCAGCAGAGTCAAGCAGTTCCTGAGTGGGGAGTGAGGATTGAAATAATTAAAGCAAAGTCATACTGCACTTGGGATTGGCTGTCAGTAAGACTGCAGCGTGAGCTTATTCCACAATTCCTTTTTATAGGCAAAGCTAAAACAAGTCACATCAATACAAGAAAGAAGTTTGAGGAACTGCCAACCTTTTTTTTTTTTTTTTTTTTTTTTTTTTTTTTTCTAAAACTACTTCCCTGTAGCAGTTAAGGTCCAAGGAAGGTCACACAAACAAGTTTTAAGGAACTTGGTGAAACTTCCTCTTTTCTCTGTCTCAAGGTAAAGGCCAGGATGAAAACATTTTTTGCTGATTAATAAAGCACCCTTTTGCTCAACCATGTTTGTAGCAGCTTTATTCGTAATAGCCAGAATCTGGAAACAACCCAGATGTCCATCAACAGAGGAATAGATACAGAAATTGTGGTACTTTTACACAATGGAATACTACTCAGCAATTAAAAACAAGGAAATCGGGAATTTTGCAGGCAAATGGTGGGATATAGAAAAGATCATCCTGATTGAGGTATCCCAGAAACTGAAAGACACACATGGTATATACTCACTTATATAGACCTATAAGATAGCATAAACATACTAAAATATGTACACCTAAAGAAGATAAACAAAAAAGAGGTCCAAAAGTAAGATGATCAATCCTCATCTAGAAAGTCAAAGGGGATGGACATTGGAAATAGGAGAAAACAAGTAACAGGAGAGTAGCCTACCACAGAAGGCACCTGAAAGACTCTACCTAGCAATGTATCAAAGCAGATGCTGAGACCCATAACCAAGCCTTCGGCAGAGTGTAGGGAATCATATGAAGGAAGGAGGAATTAGTATATCCTAGAGGGGACAGGGAGCCCCACAAGGTCCAAATATATCTGATCACAGGGGTCTTCTATGAGACTGTTTATCCAACCAAGGACCATGCATGGATATAATCTACAACCCCTGCTCGGACATAGCCCATGGTAGCTCAGTATCCAAGTAGGTTCCCTAGTAAGGGGGACAGGAATTGTTTCTGACATGAATTCATGAGCTTCCCCTTCCCACTGGGGGAGGAGCAGCCTTGCTAGGCCACAGATAAGGACATTCCAGCCATCCTGAGGATACCTGATGGGCAGGGGCCAGATGGAAGGAGAGGAGGACACCCCCTCTCAGTGGACTTGGAAGGGGGCAGGGAGATGAGGGAGGGAGGGAGGGGAGGATTGGGAAGGAAAGACGGAGAGAGCTAAAGCTGGGATACAAGTGAATGTATAAAATTATTTAAAAAGAAATAAAAAACACCCTGACAAAGCAGCTCTCCACAGTGGGGGTGGTGAAATCAAGGGCCATCCACAGTAAGCAAGCACTGTACTAAGTTATATTTATAAGTATTCCTCAGTCACAATAAAACGAAAAACTATGTTCGTTTTGTCTTGCTGGTCTTCAGTCTCTTCCCCTGCTTTGTTAGGTAATGGTCTGCATTAATGAAAGTATTGTTTATCTATGGGTTTTTTTCTTTTTTTTTTTTTAGTTTTTGAGACAGGGTTTTCCTTTATGTAGCCTTGATTGTCCTGGACTCACTCTGTAGACCAGGCTAGCCTCCCAACTAACAGAGATCTGCTTCCCCAAATACTGGGAGTAAAGGCATGTGGCAGCTATGAATGCTTTTCTTAACACATGGTCTTTTGTTTGTGTCTGACATATTCAACACCTATTATGTTAGTTCAGTAGCTTTTATTCTAAAACATCTCTGCAAGGCCATTTAATATATTTTCTTTTGTTTTGACAGATCGTTCAATTCGACCTCTCTTTCCAGCCGGCTATTTTTATGATACTCAGGTAAATTCTGCTTTGATTTGTTACTAGACATTATATTTTTTAATTACTCAATTTCTATAACTGGAGAGAAAGCTTTATAAGGAATGTTGATACTTGTGCATTCTACTTTAAGTCAATTCAAAAGGCAGTACTTGGGAAAACGTATGTGATTGGTGCCGCTGACACCTGAATTATGAGCAGGAGTACGTGACTGTTGGGAACTCTCCAGGAAGACTGAATGAGAATCTAAAACGCCCTGTGTTAGGAAACAAATGAGTGTACATAAAAGATGGTCAGTCACGGGTGGTGGCCACATGAGTGGCTGCACTTTATTGTAGGTCAAGTTAATAGTAGCCCACTATGACAACCAACATAACTAATTGTTTCTATTTGGTATACAAGATAGAAATCTCTGTAGCTCAGGCTGGCTTTAAACACTTCACAGCAGCCTAGGCTAGCCTCAGACACATGGCAGTCTGTCTGCCTTCGCTTCCACGTGCTGAGGTTACAGCAGTGAGCCATCATGACTAACTTATCACAGCTAATTTTTATAACATCTTTATTTCTAAGCCTTCTGAACTTCTATTTTAACTTTTTAAATATGCTTTTCTTTCCTCATGGTGATTATACTTTAGGTAGGCATACTTAGGTAACTATTTACTTAACTGCACTAAGTAGGTATACCTTTGAGAGAATATCAGAACCTCAAGGAAATTGTTCTTTAAGAATTTAGCACAGGTACATCATTGCAGTGTCAGCTGATAATAATGCAAATACATAGCTAACATTTACAGAATACTTGTAGTGTAATGTACTTTAGTTCTCACATGAACCCCTTAGGAATATGCCATATTTTTTTTTTTCTAAAGATGAAGAAACAGAACTGGGGAGGTAGCTTGGTAGTAAAAGCAAACCCTAGGTTCAACAATGCCCAGTAGCCATGCATACACACCATTAAAAAGAACAAAAAAAGGAAACTCAAGTTTTAAATGCCTAGTGTCAAGAATTTAAGTGATGTTAACTCTAAGGGATTTGGATATTGATCATATAGTTCTAATATTTTAGGCCAGGTTGCTGATTATAATCCTCCATGTGCCTGGGTGTCTAATTTGTTTCCTTTATTGCCAGGTTCTTTGTAATCTGCTAGCCGTAGATGGTATCAATGAACCTGATATCCTAGCAATTAATGGTGGTAAGTATAAGAACACCAACTAAAATGATCACTGCTGATTTCTTAAAGCAATGAAATATTATAATTTCAGTTTTTTATTTTTCTCCCTTTTAAAGCTTCTGCAGCCCTCTCCTTATCAGATATCCCTTGGAATGGACCTGTTGGTAAGTTACAGTTTGAAAGTATGAACCACTGTTTATATTCTTTTAGTAATAATGAACACGTTATTGGTGCTGATTTATTGCTTCATGGGAAGCTGAATGCATTCCAAGATTTCTTGCAGGTCATTCAGGCATTCTCATCCTTACTTTGGATTTTGTCACCAATAACCAACTCTGTTGCAGTGTTATTGATTTTGTGGCCCTAGACTTCTTAGATCCCTTCATATTTGGTATCTTAGCTCTCTTTACAGTGGAGAATTACCAGAGTATATACTCTTTCAAGATAAAACCATCATGTTTGTAACTTATAATTCTGTAAGTTGTAACCAGGCAATCAGTGAATGACTGAAGTGTCCTCAGTGCTAGCAGCTGGGCTAAGCAGTGAGGAGAAAAGGCCATCTGAGTACTAACAATAGAAAAATTAAAGAAGCTCTTCTTGCTTTTAGCATGAGTAAGGGAAAGATACAAACATTTATATTTACAAACATGGCACAAACAGGCCAGGCTGTCAAGTAGGGCTTCTCAGCATAGCCGGTATGTCAGTGAAATGTTAGTGAGAGGGGTGCAAGCTTTTTTTTTTTTTTTTTTTTTGACAGAATAGTCTGGACAGAACATAAACAGATGTGCCAGAAATGGTTGACTGGACTGATTCAGAGCATTCCACTGAGCCAACAAAGTAGGGTGGGATAGGATGCTCTCTGGACCTTAACAATGGGAAAAATAGAAATGTCATGTTGTTGTCAAAAATACAATGGTTTGAAGCTGTTACTAGAATAACTGAAAATTGCAAGTTTTAATTAAACAGTTGCCAACATTTTAATATCTTTTAGGGGCAGTACGAATAGGAATGATCGATGGAGAATGTGTTGTTAACCCAACAAGAAAAGAAATGTCTTCTAGTACTTTAAATTTAGTGGTTGCCGGAGCACCTAAAAGCCAAATTGGTAAATAATTTAGATGCATTCATTCTGGATTTTACTTGCAACATTATACTTTCTTTTGTTATTTGTGTCTTTGTTTTTTATTCAAAAATACTACATTGGTGAAGGTTCTAAGACAGTAACCATCCTCTTACTTTCTCTAACTAGTCATGTTGGAAGCCTCTGCAGAAAACATTCTACAGCAGGACTTTTGCCATGCTATCAAAGTGGGGGTGAAGCATACCCAGCAGATAATTCAGGGCATCGAGCAGTTGGTCAGAGGAATTGGTGTTGCCAAGAGGACACCCCAGAAGATATTTACTCCTTCACCAGAGATTGTGAAGTACACTCATAAGTAAGAACACCTGTGCACCTGGGCAGCTGTCACTAGGTTCAAGTTCCTCTAAGGAAACGCACTTTCTATCGCTTCACGTGCAGCACTTTTCTGCTTTTAGTCATTACCAGAAATACCTATCTGATGCCTACAAGAGGATAAACACAGTTAAACACAAACTTCATCCACGACAAAAGTTTAAATTGTAAATGAAAAGGACAAACATTTGTTGTTTAAAAATCATATTCTTTATTTCTCAATGTCCAGAGAAAAGAGAATAAAACATAAGATATTTGAATATCTAGGAAACCATTGGATTTCTCAAAAAGAAATGGGTTTGAACCAGCCCTGTACCCAGTGCTTAGACAGTGCTTGGCAATGCTTAGAACAGACAGGGAGGCACTGAGCAAATAGTGAATCTAAGTTGGGATTAAATGAGCAATAAAGAGGAAGTGGGGAATGGTGCCATGTGAATGATTTGGCTGATGTGGTAAGAAATCTGGTCAGTGTGATATTAAGCACATTAGCAGTGACATGCAGGACTATCTGATCTATGTGAAAGGCTTATTATTTCATTTGTAGCTCACTGCTATTTATAATTTGTCTCAGTTATAAAAACTTCATAGTTTAAATATTCAAATATTGTTAACATTTATTTTATACTTAATAGACTCGCCATGGAGAAACTCTATGCAGTTTTTACGGATTATGAACATGATAAAGTAGGTATACCTTAGAAGATTACTTCTGTAACTCATACAATTTTGTTTGTACATATTATTCCTATTAGGGATGTGGCTCAGTGGTAGATCAGTTGTGCAGCATTCATGAGGGCCTTTCGTAGATTGGCAGCACTGTAATAAAGAAATGAATCTCTTAACAAAATGTTGAATGAAGCAATTCTCCTTTGAGAGCTCATAACCACACTTTGTATCCATCTTGCTTCCTTTCTGGTGCCTTTCTTCTTGTTAACTCTAATCTCTTGCCTTCAACTGGGTTTTTCTTTGTAGAGCTAAGTCAAAGTCTACCTGTTCTTTCCTTAATACACACTTTAAGGAAATGTGCAAATACATACTTGAATTAATTAAATCAGGTTTTACCCTTCCAGGAATGTTACTATTACTGTTCTTACAGTTTGTTATTTATGTAACATTGACAATAGAAATGTGAATGTCATGTTTATACACTAATATCAATGCTGTTTTAGATTTCCAGAGATGAAGCTGTTAACAAGATAAGATTAGATACAGAGGAACAACTAAAGGGTAAATTCTATTTTCACCTTCAAAGATGTTGAAAGAAAAACAAATTTTTTTAAAAAACACATAGATTTGTTTTCATATTTCAATGTTAAGACCTTGAAAAACGATTATTCTCATAGTTCTTCAGTTTTATCTTGAATTTGTAACGAAGATAGGTAAGAGGGTGGCTGTCACATTAACTTTGAGAATCTGGCTAACAGGCTTGGGTAGGCACCTAGGAAATAACGAATGTAAAATGTTCCTTTCTTATCTGTTTCAGTATCTTTGGGTGCTAGTCCTATAGCCTATCATTTGAAAATCTAAAAACTGCTCTTTAAAATTCTTGAGTTAAAAATGAAAACACAGCCAGGCAAAACTTGGGAGGCAGAGGCAGGAGGATCTCTGTTAGGTCCAGGTCAGCCTGATCTACATAGTTCCAGGACAGTCAGGGTAATGTAGAGAGACCCTGTTCAAAATCAAGAAAACAAACAAACAAAAACCAGTAGTTGAGAATATAGCTCAGTGGTAGAGTGTTTGCCCAGAATGTGTGAGGCCCTGTGTGCAACCTTCAATACTAAATAATAATAATTAACAACAACAAAAAAAACTTTAATAAATTATTGAGTCTATCTGTGAGATTACAGTACCAATAATACCTGGTTTATGGAGATTAAATAGGTTAAGTCATGTACATCTCTGTACCTGGCACATAGTCATCATTCAGCATGATGCTTTGTTATTCTTTACGTTGTCTGGGACCACACAGGGTAGACTTTTAGATTAACTCTTCACAGTCACTAAGCAGAGTATCTTACTGTATAACATCATTCTTGTAGTAACTTGAGTATGAGTATGGCTTACAGTTCTTGTTAATTTTTCCACCAAGAGAAAAGTGCCCTCTTGTGGAAGTGTTTATCAAATTTTAAAATAAAAATTCTTCTGCTATATTTATATTAATGCGATTACTTGTAATTATCTTCAAAAGTTTAGGCTTTTATATTAAATCCCTTTTACCAAGAATAAGAAATGATGGTCAGCAAGGTGGCTCAGCAGGTGACAGAACTTGCTGAACAAGCTTCAAAATCTGAGTTTGATCTGGTTTAAAAAAAAAAAAAATTAAGCTAAATTCCTAAACTGGCATAAGAGAATTTGATTAATGTGCTTTGTCTCAGGAATATATGCTCAGCCAGCTCCCTTGGCTTATCACTACAATACTAGATTTGATGCTGTGAACCTTGGAGAACTTACATTCCAAAAGGATAAAACCTTTGATTTGTCTCTTTTCTATAGAAAAATTTCCAGAGGTCGACCAATTTGAAATAATAGAATCCTTCAATGTTGTTGCAAAGGAGGTTTTCAGAAGTATTGTTTTGAATGAATACAAAAGGTAACTATATCTTCCTGTGGCAGAATTGAAGTAGGTGCTGTGCCTGCAAGTTGTCTCGAGGGAAGAAGCTGGTTTCAGAGAGTAAGGAGTAATGCTCCTCTTATAAATGAGCACCTACTAGCTCTCCTGCTGTTGAGTCACACCTCCACACACTGACTCAGTGGAAGCTAGAGTGGAGCCCAAGCATTTATATTAGAGTTTAAAGTTTTAACAAGTTACTGTAGGCAGCTGGCGTTTAGAAATTAATGGTGGAGATAAAGAAATCTAGTTTTTCTGATTTCCCGTATGGCTTTACTACTTTTCTTACAGGTGTGATGGGCGAGATTTGACTTCACTTAGGAATATAAGCTGTGAGGTAGATATGTTTAAAACACTTCATGGATCAGCATTATTTCAGAGAGGACAAACACAGGTAATATGTTTGGAAGTCACTTAATTATATCTTGTGGTTTATTACGGTAGGGCCAAATGTTGATTATTAACCTTATAATTATTACAGCAATGTAGCTAACCCACAATTACAATCAATAAAAGACAGATACCTGATAGGTTTTTCAAATAGCCTTATCTTATCTGGGGCAGGGCAGATATTAACCCTCTAAACCTTTACCTTCCAGTCCCATCCCAGGCTACCTTCCACCTATAATCCCATAAATATTTCCTTTGTCTTCATCTGGGCCACTTCCCATTCATGCCTGCCATATGTTTCTCCCATGCTCTCTCTGCTTCCCTCTTCTTCCCAGACCAGTGTCCCCAATGATCCTTCTATTCCCGAAGCCCTTGAACTTTAGCCATGCCTACCTTCTGCCCTGCCCAGGTCTTTTAATCAGCCAGTCGGGGATTATTGGGGAACATTCCTTCTCATCACATGCTTACAGAGACAGCTGAACATTATAACCATGCCCATGGCAGGGTGGTAACAAGATCTCAAGGCACCTGCATGAATACACAGCACCAGACCAACCGCCAACAGTATCTGCTCTAAGTTGTGTGTGGCAGATGTGTTTTGTATGTCCTTAATTTGAAACCAGGGAACCTCTTTTGTTGTGTACAACTACATTTGCCAAGAAAGCTGACATGTGGGTTTCTGGTGATTATACACTGTCTCCACCCCCTATCTCTCCATAGGTGCACTAGATTTATAGATGCATACTACTACTGTGCCCAACTTTTTTTTGTTTTTTTTGAAAAAGAGTATCTGGGCTGGAGAGATGGATGAGTCAGCTGTTGAAGAGACGACTCACAACCAAAATATAAGAGACAGAGTCTCCTGTTGTTTTATTGTGATGACCTCACTATTGTAGCCTAGCCTAGTCTGAAACTCGTGAGCCTCTTGCCTTTGCCTTCTGAGTACCCTGAGTACTGGCATGACTTAATGTGTTTATTAATATAATTTAAATAATATCAAGATATAATTTAGTGTAGTAAAGTATACATTTTTAACAATATATGGAATTTTTGTGTATTTTTTTTTTAAATTGTTTTGTTTTTAGACTCTCACTATGTGGTTTAGGCTGGCCTGGAGGCTCACTGCAGCACAGGCTGGCATCAAACTTGGGTTTCTCCTGACTGATTGACCTGGTATTCCACTTAGCCTGATGCTTAAAGTATTTGATTTGGTATGTTTAAATTTACATACCTGGTTAACATTTGCCATAATTAAGAAAATAATGGCACAGGGCCATACATAGCTCAGTTTATCTCTATAGCTCCTTTTCCCTGCTCTGCTCTCCACAGGAAACTGCTTTTGTTGCTATATGTTCATTTCATTTTCCAGAACTTTTGGATATTTTTAGTTTAATATTAAAAGCACAAAATTAAGTTACTACATCTTGTTTTAGGGTGCACTGTCATTGTTCATCATTCATGATCTTTGCATGCTTTCTACATTTACTTCAAACCTGTCTTACTCTTTTTCTTTACATAGATACCTGTTCTCTGATACTTACATTGTTCCAATATTCACTTGTTCATTTACCCCTTTGTTTATCCATTGTTTCTGTATGGTTTAATGCTTGATGCCTCATTTTCTTACATTAATCATGCTTCATTTTGCTAACCGAATAAGCACAAAGTTGTATCTTGTTGCTTTAGTTTATTTGAGAATCTCCTTATGTGATCTAGTGAACGGGATCACTGTGTGAGCCACACCCACGAAGACTGCATACCTATTTTCATGCAGATCATTTCACCTAGAGTTGTGTGTCTTGAACTTCTTTCTGTCCTCATTACTTTTGGGCTGATTTATTTTTCTATTTTTAACATTACTTACAGTACTGTACCTGCTATTTTGCAATAATTTATCTCCTTTTTACTTTCTATTGAACATCACTCCTTATTTCTAGAGTTACAGAATTAGGTACCTATTGTTTTTTTCTTAGCTTTCTAACACTAATTTAGACAGTTAATATACTTGGAACGTATTCCTGCATATGGTGTATAGTGAAACCAATTCACAAATCATTTATTTTTCCCACTGATTTTATATTAAAGGTTATAAATACCCATTGTTTTGTGTATTTTTCTGGGTCAATATCATTTTCATTATCCAGCCTTTTGGGTACACCTTAATGTCTATGAAGTACATCTTCACTGTTTATATACCCTCTTTACAAACTGTTGGAGCTTTTCACATACATTGGTTCTTCATTTGAATGTTAGAAGTATTTCGATTTCAAATAGTCCTTTTAGAATTACATTAGACTTGCACTGATTTTGAGAAATGGAATTTTGACAGCTTGAATTAGTGCTTACAGTAAATATAGTGCATCTCACCTTCGACTCACTTTCTCTGTGCCTTTCACTGAAACATTAGAGACAGTGAAACATTAGGTGTCTTGGATACTTTTGTCATCTCTTCTCACAGGCCTGCCTTCTAGCTGGAGGGCAAGGTCAGTTTATGCTTAACCTAATGACTAATATTCGAGTGTGGGGTTGCTTGCTTTTAACCTCTTTGAGCACTTAAGAGATGTTGTGCTGTTTTTTGTTTGATGTGCTGTGTTTTCTTCTTTTTGTTTTTCTGTGTTTCTCTGTGTAGCCTTTGTTGTCCTGGACTCACTTTGTAGACCAGGCTTGCCTCAAACTCAAAAAGATCTGACTGCCTCTGCCTCCCGGACTTGTTCTTTATTTTTTCTCTGATGGGACACATTGAAATTATTCCTGTATGTTATGTATTGTTTTTATGTGAGTGCTGTCAAGATGTGTTCTTTATCTTTGGATTTCAGCATATGAGTGAAATATGGTTTTCTTGGAATATGTCATACTTAGAATCAACAAATATGTCTTTTCATTAAGCCTGAGACTTTTTAGCCATTATTTTTTTCAAATATATATGACTCTCCTCTGGAATTATAAGTACATATGCCAGTCTCTTTCATGTTATCGTACAGGAACCTGTGAATATGTTCCCTTCAGATTGAGTGGCGGTTTCTTTTATGCAGTAACATTGGTTTTATGAGTCTTCCCCTCTCTCCACCTCAGCACTACTAGTGGGCCATTTGGATTGTTGACATTCACAGCTTGATATTTCAGAGTGAATGTCTACTTACTCTAATAACTCCCGTGGATAGCATTGTATATTATGTATTTATATATTACATCTTTCTTTGTAGAAGGGTTAGGTAAGTTTTCAGATAGTTTGGGGCTAGGAGTGTAGCTCTGTAGTAAATCACATGCTTAGTGTGCAAGGCCCTCAGTTCAATCCCCAACACATACACACACACACATATACCAAACCAAACCAAAGTAAACAAACAAAAAAAACCCACAACAATAAAAAACAATTACCAATTGTATAGACTAACAAACTATGTTTCATTTTAGTTTTAACCTCTGTTGTTAATATTTTAAAGCTTAAAGAATAATTTTGTTCTTTTTAGGTACTCTGTACTGTTACATTTGATTCATTAGAATCCAGTATTAAGTCAGATCAAATTATAACAGCTATAAAGTAAGTTTTGTTATATTCTGTGTTCTTTCACTAAATAGTCTTTTTGTGTATATCCTAGTACTTTATTCTACTTTCATCATTGGCAAACTCTTAAAGGGCAGTGCTAGTCTTTTTGTTTGTTGTTTTGAGATAAGGCCTCAGTCTGTAGCCTATACTGGCCTCAGATTCTTAGCAATCATCCTGCTTTAACCTTATGAGTGGTAGAATTACAGTTGCAAGCCACCATAACCACTTTATTATTATTTGAATAGCCTTGTATGGCACACTTCATTTTTCTGTTTACAAGGTCAGAATTGCAGAGGATGCTTTTCTGTTGGTGGACCGTATCTTCTGAATTGTTGGCTTGGAACACATTTGGAAAGCACTTACTCTGTAATGTGATCACATTTAGCTTATGTCCCTAGAAACGGTCCCCAGGAGCAACTTCTCAGATGACCTTGAATAAACTTTGCATTACAAAAGAGAGAGCATCATGCGTGAAGTCCCAGGTGATAAAATAAGCCAGAGGCTATTAATAAAATCTCTATCTAGTCTCAAGTAATATTAACTTTGTGCTCAGAAATATGGGCTCTCCTCCTGTTCCTACAACTTCAGCAGTAAAACTCTGTTCATCTGCTGAAGATAATGTCTCCACCAGTGCCACTGCATGATGGTCCTGAGCCTCACAGACTTACAGCCTAGCTCATGGTGGGGTTGCTGGCCTCCCCACCTGTTTTTCATGTACATAATAAATCAACAGGTGGAGGCTGGAGATGTGTATGGTTCAGTTGGTTAACATTGGTTCAGTCTCTGTCACCGCCTAAATGGGCCATAGCCCACACTTGCAGTCACATACTGAGGAAGAGCAGGAGCCCACGGCTGTCCTTTGACTATACAGAGAATTGAAAGGTAGCCTAAACACAAGAGACCCTGCCTCTATAAAGCAACAACAAAAGACCAATTTGTTTGTTTGAAGGAAAATTGTTTTCCTCTATCAACCTAGAATTCAATTGTAAGTCCAGCAATAGGAAGGCATCTCTCAGCTACTCTACTCAGGGGGCTGAAGCAGGAACATTACCTAACTGAGGGGTTTGAGACCAACCTGAACAGCATAGCAAGAGAAAAAGAAAAAAAAAATCCCATTCATCCTCTGTTCTTCAAGTTTTCTTTTTCCAACCAACTCTTATTAATACTCAATTGTTTTTCTAAAATCATAAAAAACCTTTAGTGATTTATGTCCTAATAATGGTTTTAATATCATTCCTTTTTCTTGTAGTGGAGTAAAAGATAAAAATTTCATGCTGCACTATGAGGTAAGATAAATTTTCTCCCCAACATTTTTATTGTGAAAATTTTTTAGGATACAGCAAAATTTTTAAAAAGCTGATAGTAAACTTCCATGTGCCCATTCCTTCGGACCTGCCATTAACATCTTACCATGTATCTGTGAAGGCTGATTTGGTTATTTTATTGCTTAGAGAAGAGATTTAGATAAGTAGCTTTCCAGTAAATAACTCCCTGTTCCCAGAACCCATGAGGTAGTTTATAATCACTCCAGATCCAACACCTTCTTCTGGCCTCCATGGATACCAGGCACACATGTACACAGACATACATACAGGCAAAACACTTATGCAAACAAAATAAAAATAAATCTTTGAATGAGATAAATTTTCATAACCATGTCCTACACTCCAATCTACTTACACAGTACAAATAGCTAATACATACTTTGGATCTTTTTCAGACACTTTCCAAATAAATAAATAAATAAATAAATAAATAAATAAATAAACAAACAGATGGTAGATAGGTAATATAGTCTTTATAACAAAAGTGGGTTTCTCTTGTACTGTAATTTCTTTTATTGTTTTGGTAACGTATCTGAGGCCATTCCATGTCACTTATGTGTATGTGTATGTTTTGTTCTCAGTTTCCTCCTTATGCAACCAATGAAATTGGCAAAGTTACTGGTATAAACAGAAGAGAACTTGGACATGGTGAGTACAATCCTAAGCTTTTATTGTATTCTTAGAGAGACTTAGCACATTTTGCTTATTGTTTTCTATTCTTATTTAGGTGCTCTTGCTGAGAAAGCTTTGTGTCCTGTTATTCCCAAAGATTTTCCTTTTACCATAAGAGTTACATCTGAAGTCCTTGAATCAAATGGTATGATATTTCACTATTTCTTTCCTAGTAGAAAAGACTAGATTCCCTGATACAGTCTTAACTTTTCTTTTTTTATTTACCTTTATTTTATGTTCATTGGTGTTTTGCCTACATGTATGTCTATTTGAGAATATCAAATCTTAAAATTACAGACAGTTGTGAGCCATGTGGTGCTAGGATTTGAACACAGGTCCTCTGGAAAAGCAGTCAGTGCCTTTAACCACTGAGCCATCTCTCAGCCCCATCTTAACTTTTCTAAGGTTATGCTATGTTTACTACTACAGAGTCTCAATCCTGCTGCAGGAGAAAATAAGTTAAATTGTTCGTACCCTTGTCTTGAATCTGTTCTTAGCTACTAAGTTATTTTGAAAGCATTCTAAATCAGAAACTAGTATTTCTCTTTTTTCATGTATTACAGCACATCTAATTTGGATTACTTTTTTTTTTGCAAACAAGCAACAGAGCAAGTTAAGCTTGGAGAGAGTAGCAGCCAAAACAGATGGATCCATCAAAGAATCCACATATCAGAGAGGAATAAGTGGACACCAGGAGAGAAACAGGGCTAAAAGGTCAAAATTAAATAGAATAAATTAGTCCATGCATGTGTCAACTAGGTATTGTCATGAGGCAGAATGGGCACAGAGTTCTGCGGGGTCTAGCAGCCACAGTGCTCACAGATTTTAAGGTAATACCATAAAGTTAGTTCAGAATGTAAACTGAAGATTTTTTTTTGTTCTCTACTAGTTGGAATTGGAATCCTGTTCATTTGTACCCTATAATTAAAGCAACAGAAATATTGCTAGGCCTTCTGGGGGTTTCTTGGGCTCAGAATCTCTGCAGCAAAGCTGCACAACAGAATTCTTTGTAATAATGAAAACCCAATGAATTACTCAATGGAGAAACTAAACTTATTTCAGTTAATTTAAATTTGAGTAATTACTTGTTGGCTAGTGGCTACTGTATTGTACTGTGTAGCCATGTACTTAGTCACATAAGAGAGATTGAGTTAAATCTCTCTTTTTTTTTTTATTGCTTACGTATTGTGTGGGTATAGGTATGAGTATAGGGGTTGGGAGTGGCAGAATTTTGTGTACAGACACACAGAGGCCAGAGGAATAATCCAGATACCCTGCTCTATCTCACTCTCTTGTTAGTTTAAAAAAAAGAAAAAAAAAACCTACCGTCCAATTTTACTAGTAAAGACTCAGGAGCCAGGTAGTAGGGTGAAAACCTGCTAGCTCAGAGAAGCAGAAAAAGCACCAGCTGACCTTCCCACTTAGCTCATATCTCTGAGGGAAAAGCCCAAAAGGCTCACTAGCTCAGGTGACAGCCCAGGAGGAAAAGGCAAAAAGTAAAAATAAAATAAAACCCAAGGTCAAAGGCTTGCTAGCTCAAGCCGAAGGAGCCAAGTGCTAAAGCTCCTTTTACTTCTACACGATATATTAAATACCCCTCAACTCAAAGTCCCTCCTACTCTTTAATCCCTGTCAGCTGGTTTCTTGCTCTGCCTCTTGACCTAGGGTCAACTTTATTAAATCCTGTGGACAGAAAGCTCGTGGATTAAAGGTGTGTGCTAGGGCTGGCTGAATCATACCATAATAAACAGAAAGTTCTTGGAGTAAAGCTGTGTGTTAGGGCTCAACCAAACCAAGCAAGAAACAGGGTTTTACAGTTCACAATCTCGGGGTTCACAGTGGGAACAAATATCCTGCAAGACTCTCTACCTTATTCCTTTGATACAGGGTTTTCCACTGAACCTGGAATGAGGCTGGTAGCCAAGCAAGTCACAGTGATCCTTCTGTCTCTGCATCTTGTGACACTAGGGGCCCATGTACATCTGGCTATACACCCAGCCTTTTTTTAATGGGTTCTAGGAATTCAAACTCAGGTTCTCATATTTGCACAAAAAACATTTTTACCCACAGAGTCATCTCCCAGCCCCTTAAGTGATTTTACAAAGAAGGAAGAAAAGACTATTAACAATTTATGTTCAAGTGTAATATGTATATGGAAATAAACAACACTAGCTGTTTTCTACATTTTAAGAAATCAATATATTACAACAGAAGTGGTTCTTTTTCTTTTTCAATAGGGTCATCTTCTATGGCATCTGCATGTGGTGGAAGTTTGGCATTAATGGATGCAGGTAAAAAAATTATTTCTCAAAACTGTTACTTTACATATATATTTCATTAGTACAGAATATAAAGATTTGTTTAAATTGGATTTTAAAAAAGTCAAAAGCAGATTATAGATTACCAACCTAGGCCTGATACAAGGTAATTACAAAGTAGAATATAAGAAATACACTGGCTGAGGTTCTTATTTTTAGCTAAAAGACACTAAATTTTAAAATACACCTAAATTTATATACTTCCCTTTGTGACTCAGTTTACTTTCTCACCTTCCAAACGTGAAGACTTCCAGACTGATTCCAGTCTATAAGGCAGTTTCAATTAGTAAACAGAAATCATTAGAATCCATAAGAAAAAGTAACCATATAATCTTTGAGTCAGTTTATACTAGCCATAGAGGGAGTGGCACTCCAAAAGCATGGTCAGGAGTGTAGGAATTCTGTAGAATTCAGTAGAAATACTGAAAGTTGTCTGGTAAAATCTCCGAGACTGTGACACTAAGAAAGAAAGAGTTCACATTTTAGACTTTCAAGAGCAGTTTCTGGCAATTGTAATGCTACTCAAAAAGAAAGAGAAAAGGTACCACAAGGCACTACAAAAGATACACAACGATTGCTCTGCTAACCTTGAACATTTACAACACAAAAAGGAAGTATAGAAAGGAGGATAAACCAGAGAAAGTGAACCAGTCATGTAAGTATATTTTAATATTACTTAAGCAACATAAAAACTTACAACAGGCCAAAGTAAAAACTGCTAATGACCTTTTCCTAGTTCTAGTCAGTAGAAATATATATATATTACAGTTTTCTACAGTTCGTCTTCATTTATTCATTTTACAAATCTTTACTAAATCAGGCACTGATCTAAGTTCTTGAGCCCCAGTGGTAAGCAAAAGAGTCATTTCTCTTCAGAGGTTGCATTTCTCAGCCAAGTCTCATTTTAAAAAAAGCAGCCAGGCTTCATGGTTTAATTCTAGTACTTCAGAGGTAGAGACAGTCAGATCTCTATGAGTTCAAGGCTAGCCAAGTGACTTAGTAAGATTCTCTCTCAATAGAACCCTTGAAAAGATTAACTGAGATATCACATCTTTAACTGCAAACACTGAGAGAGCAGACTGAAAGTGGGGCTGGTCTGTAGTCCAAAGCCTGCCTCCACTGATACACTTCCTCCAGCAAGATCTAATCACCTCTCCAAGCAGCAGCACAGTTGAGGACCAAGTGTTCAAATACTGAGCCTATGAAGGACAATCTCATTCTAACCACCTCAATGTCCTAAACATTTTTGGACCCCCAGTTTGGGGCTAGAGTGCTGGCACAGAAGTTAAGAGCTTATACTGCTCCTGTAGATAACCTAGGTTTTGGTTCCCAGTTCTTACTTCTTATCACATCAGCTCTGAAGGATCTAATGTCCTCTTTGCCAAGCATAGCACACTCATACACTCAATTTAAAATCTTTAAAAATAACAGCTCTCCAGCTTGAGGGGACAACTGAGTGATGTAGTGATTGCTGAGCATGCAGAAGTGTTTGCTCTAAGCATTCCCATCAACACAACCAACAAATCTAAAAGGTTAGGGAGGACTTAAAGGGGTCTATGTTTTTATTTATTTAAATGGATTCTATTTGATAGAGAACTCCAGGAAACACTTTGTCTAAGCAGATGCAGGCCTTGGCCAAGAAATCCAGGTGGAAGGACAAGGCAGTTAAGTTGCCATTCTGGAGCTGGTTAAGAAAAATTGGATTTAGTCCCAGTACCCACTTGGTGGCGTACAACCTCTATAACTCTAGTTCAGGGAATCCATTGCCCTCTTCTGACATCCACAGGCAACAGACACACACCTAAGAAACTGACATACATTCAGGCAAAACACTCATATATATATAAATGTAAAGTAAATTTTTAAAAAGGCATCATTATAATGGTAGTTTAAGCCAGAGATATAGATAAGACAGATTAGAATAAAAGTAATCAAGATCAAACTTGAAGAAGAAGAGAAAAACAGAATTTTATCAAAACTTGAAGAAATGCCTTTCTAAGCAAAATCCAGGAACCATGGTCTCATAAATATAAAAATTCTACCCAGAAAAAAAAATCAGTATTATTGAAGTGAACAAGCTAGACAACAACATAGCTTAATTTAATAACAATCTCCTGCTCATAATGAAAGCTCCTGTTGTAGTATTACAAGAGAAAACAAAAGGTCTTCAAAAGAGTTCATATACATGAGAACCAAAGACAAGAAGTAAAAATAAATTCTGCCATGTTTACACATACATAAAAAAAACAAATCAAGTTTCAAAAAATCATTTTTATCTTTTAGCAAAGATAACAAAAAAGGTTTAACGGGAATTATCAAGAAAGCTGGACATGGTGGTATACAGCTGTTAGCTCAGTACTTGGGGGGTTTAGAGGCAGGATGAATGAGAGTTCAAAACCAACCTTGAAATTCTGGGCCATCCTGGCCACATCACCATGTCAGACCTTGTATCAGACACACAAACCCACACATGCACATGAGGAAATGGGGGGAGGCAGTAACAAACTCCTGCATCATTATACATGACATGAAAAGTACATACCTTTGGAAGGTAGCTTGACAGTCTGAGCAGGTATAAATACCCATGCCTTTAACTAAGCACCTGTATCAGATTGGATGGTTCAGTGCAGTATGGAGAGGCCTGATAACCTAAGTTTGATCCCAGAATTGCAGAGTGGCAGGAAATAACAGATTCCAGAGTTGGCCTCTGACCTCCACATATGGCACACATTGTCTACATTTAAATACACAAAGTACACAAAATTTTAAGTTTTGTTTTAGTTGGGAATGGTGTAGCACACCTTTAATTCCAGCATTTGTGAGACAGAGACAGATAGATCTCTGTGAGTAAAAGGCCAGTCAAAACTATACAGTAAAATTCTGTCCCAATTTAAAAATTGTTTTATATATGGTAGCCTTATATGGTAGTGCATGCCTGTGACGTAGCACTTAAGAAACTAAGGCAGGAACCTACTACCCAGCTACATGGTAAAAGCTTACTTCAAAACAGCAAGGAAAACATGGGTATGTACTTTTTGTGTTTAGTAATTACATTCATGGGGATTAGTATGCTATAGGTACGAGTTAATGCATATATAACATGTTTCTTTCAAATAAGAATTTAAAGAATTTTTTTTTTTTTTTTTTTTACATTTATAGTTGTATACAGACATTTCCTAAAAGACCATGGTGAGGCAACTAAAAGGTTCAGGCTTAGGAAATTTAACAAACATAGGGTTAGAAAAAGGAACCAAAAGCAACATAGCAGACTATAGATAAGAGTTTTCTCTCTTAGAGGTTGGCCAAGTATAGTTATTACCTGTGGCTTTACACTTATTACGTTTTTATTTACATTATTTATAACTTGGGAATTTACATTATAATATAAAAGAATCAAACGAACTGAACTGGGGACTTTTTAACTTGATACGATGATTTAGATGAGACGATCATCTCATTAAAATAATATCAACAAAGCCAGGTACAGTGATGTACGCCTGTAATCCCAGCACTCAGGGAGGCAGAGGCAGGTGAATCTTGGTGAGTCTGAGTCCAGCCTGGTCTACAAAGCAAGTCCAGGACAGCCAAGGCTACACTGAGAAACCCTGTCTCAAAAAACAAAAACAAACCAAGAAAGTCAACAAAATTTCAGCATGCTTTATATATATATACTACATGAATTATACACAAACCTTTTTGTTGTTATAGGGGTCCCAATTTCATCTGCTGTTGCAGGTGTAGCAGTGGGATTGGTTACCAAAAACAATCCAGAGAAAGGTGAAATAGAAGATTATCGTCTGCTCACAGATATTCTGGCAAGTACATTCCCAGTTTGAAATATTTACAAGTATATCTAAAAGTACATGCTTAGACCAGGCATGGTAGCACACACCTGTATTACTAGTCTTAGTCTAACCTAAACTACATAGCAAATTCCAGGACAATTTGGGCCCACGTGACGAGACCCTGTCAAAACAAAAAAACAAACAAAGAAAAAGGACGTACAGAAGCCTAGAACAGTGTTATCATCTGTGGGTCATAACCCTTTTCATGGGATTGAATGTCCCTTTTAGAGGAGTCACCTAAGACCATCAGAAAACAGATGTTTATATTATGATTTATAACAGCAAAATTTCAATTATGAAGCGTCAATGAAAATTTTATGCTTGGGGGCCGCACAACATGAAAAACTGTATTAAAGGATCCTGGCGTTAGGAAAGTTGAGAACCGCCGCTCTAGAAGGACAGGCGTACTTCAGGATAGAGCAGTGTTTATTTCCTGTTTGCGTGGATTTAAAGATGTGTACTACTGTATACTTGTAAGTTAATTTTCATGTAGTTTTAGAAACAGCATGACCATAAAGTGTTATCTCCAGTGACAATGCCAAGCAGGAGAGGTGGCTCTTTGCATGTAGTGTTAGAGGACACAGCTTACTTCAGAGCTGGGACTTGACATTCTTTTACCGTGACCATGGAGGAATTTTGGCTTTGTGTAAAACTTTACTATAATTTCTTAAATTGTTGAAGGGAATTGAAGATTATAACGGTGACATGGACTTCAAAATAGCCGGTACAAATAAGGGAATAACTGCATTACAGGTATTTTTGAAACCAGCTTGTTTAATCTTTTAAATATTTACATAATGTTATGGGCCACTATTTATTTTTGGCTGTTCTATATTAGGCTGATATTAAATTACCTGGAATACCAATTAAAATTGTAATGGAAGCCATTCAACAAGCTTCAGGTAAATCAAGGTGCTTTATTTATTCTCCTTTTAGTTCTGTCTAATTTGTTTATGTGGCCTATAATTCCCACTCAACGTACTATAAAATATTGCTTTCAAAACTGAGTGTAGCTGACTGGCAGAATGTTTGCCTGTGATGTATAAGGAATTGGATCAGATCCCCAACACCATTAAAACTGGAAGAGTTGGGGCAATATAAGTTAACATGATCAAGTATTAATTATTTATCACATTGACTGAATACCCAAATGAAAGAACAATGAAACTTTAATTTTTACAAAATAAACAACTTTCGGAGTTAGAAGTCTGGAGAAGTGAATGAGGAACAAAAGTGACTTTGTAAGATAACTGGAATATGAAGAACTCTCATAGTGAGATAGTTTGGATTGCATGCCAGTGAAACTATTTCAGATTATACCTACTCGATGGAGTTAGTTTTTATTCTGTTGCTATTTCTTCTAGTGGCAAAGAAGGAGATACTACAGATAATGAACAAAACAATTTCAAAACCTCGAATATCTAGAAAAGAAAATGGACCAGTCGTAGGTAAGACATTAAAAGTATTACTGATAAAACTTGATAAACATTAATATTTCAACATTTATTACTATCTTTAAACATTTTGCTCTTAACAAAATAAGAATATTATAATACTTTGATTGCTAAATACCTTCAAAGAAAACTATTATCATTATTCATTATGTGTAGATGTGGGTGGGGTACGCACATGCTACACTATTTTTGGCATTCAGGCCAGCCTGTAGAAATAGACTCTATCCTTTGAGTCCTGACGTTGAACTCAGGTTATTAGGCCCGGCAGCATGTGCCTTTACTAACCCAGCCATCTTACCAGCCTTAGAAAAAAGATTTTAAATTTTCTTTCTATAAAAGAATGGAAAAGAACAGATATATTTACTCAGAGTTCAACATTATATTATGTATACATGTATCAAAAATCACAGTACATAAAATCTATGTGTTCTTATGTATCTTAAAAATAAATTTTATATTGAAAGAAAACCAAATGTTAAGTTTGAGAATATTAATCTTGTATATTTTTCGGTAATTTTAATCACAACAAATTTCTTCTATTTCATAAAGAGACTTGTATGTATGTTTAGGTTCGTATATCTTTGGCTTCTTTACATACTTGTCTACCTGTCTTCATTGCATTTCAGAAACAGTTAAGGTTCCATTATCAAAAAGAGCAAAATTTGTTGGACCTGGTGGATATCACTTAAAAAAACTTCAGGCTGAAACAGGTAAGGGTTATATGTAGTTTGAGGGTATTATTAAATGACAAACCATGTAAGTTTGCTATTTCATCTCTGTTACTCCAAAAATGGTATTTGAAAGGCTAAGAGAAAAAGCAGAAGAAAAGTGTAACATATATTTACTATGAGTTTTCTGTGGGACTCTTTTCTAAGTCAACAAGCCTTAATCCTCAACTATATTCAAGAAGGATAAAGCAGCATGTGGTGGGTCATGTCCACGGTCCTGGTATTTGATAGCAGCTTGAAGGACAAATTAGCAAGACCCTGTCTCAGAGAAAAGAGAAAGGATGACAAAAAAAAATCATACTTTCACATTTAAAACTAAACATTCCCAAATAATTTTTAGTTTTTCACTTGAAAAGGTTATTAAGTATTCTTACCTCTACTGCTTTGATTTAGTTTCATTTAGGCTCTTTTGTTTAAAGAGGCCTATGTGCAGAGGCCAGATGTGGTGATACACACCCTCAGTACTAACATTCAGGGGCAGAGGCAGGTGAATCTCCGAGTTCAAGGCTAGGCTGAGTTCCAAGATAGGCAGCCCAGGCTACAACTGAGATTTTGTCTCCGAAAAAGAAAAAAGGAATATATGCAGAAATAATTACATTTTAATTTGTTTCTTCTAGAAGCAGTGTTTTGATGGCTTAATAGTTATTTTGAGCTAAAGGACAAGCAGAATTGCTTTAACCAGTATTAAAAGAAACTGACATGATTTACATATTCATTCTAAAGGATGACAATAAAAAAACATGATGATGAAAGTATTCGAATATTTCTAGTCATAACTAAAGAGCAAAACAAAAACCCTAAAAGTTAGCCTTGCTGCTAGGACATGGTTCCCTGGTATACCCACAGGGCCTAGTAAATGCCAGGCTCCTGGCAGGAGAGCAGTGCATTATGCTTCATGCCCTGCAGTCATTAGGCATGCAGGGACCCATCCAGCTGCTTTGAGGTCTCCCCTCTCCACACCCCCATTCTTGTATTTGATTTTTACATTAGTCACCTCTGGTAATGAACTTGTTAATTTTACTTACTGTTTTGTTTTTGAAGACGGGGTCCTAGGCCTCCCTGGGTGCTGGGGTTACAGGCATGTGCCTGGCTGAACTTGTTAATTTGTTACCTCTTTTGTGTTCTTCCCACCCCTCATCATGATACTGGGTTTATTCTAAAGGTGTCACAATTAGTCAGGTTGATGAAGAAACCTTCTCCATATTTGCACCAACACCTAGTGCAATGCATGAGGCAAGAGACTTCATTACTGAACTTTGCAGAGATGATGTAAGTAGACATCTTATGATAGCTTTTGCCTATTTTTTTCCTGTTATCTTTATGAACCTAATGGTTTCTTTTATACTTTACAGCAAGAGCAACAATTAGAATTTGGAGCAGTTTATACCGCTACAATAACTGAAATCAGGTAATTACAAGTAAACACTGGATTCACTTTTCAAAGATTTTTACAGCAAGCCAGATTCACTGACGATTTAGATATTTGTCAATAACTCTGTGTGAGTGAGAGAGAGCAGAGAGAGAGAATGAATATGTGTATATGATAAGGTCTCCAGCCCAGACCAGTCTAAGTCAATATGTAGCTGAGAATGACTGAACTGTTTTTTCTCTTTATTCTGGATGTTTTGCCTGGATGTTTGTCTACCAACCATGCAGTGCCTGAAGAGACGAGAAGAGGATGTTGAATCCTCTGGGACTGGAGCTAGACAAGTTGTGAGCTACCAGGCAGGTGCTAGGAATTGAACCCGAGTTCTCCGGAAGTCCAGGAAGTGCACTAAAACACTGAACTATGCCTCCAGCCGCACTCCCTTTTAGTGTTTTGTTGTGTTTATTATTTGTTCTATATATATATGGGTGTTTTGTTTGCACGTATGTCTTGCACCATTTGTGTCTGGTGTGTAGTGCATATAGAGGCCAGAAGAGGGCATCAGAGTCGAACTAGAGTTACAGATGGATGTGAACAGCCATGTGGGTGCTGAGACTCAAACCCAGGTCCTCTGGAAAAGCAGCCAATGTACTATTAATGGCTCAGCCATCTCTCCAACAGACTCAGTAAATTTCTGATCCTCCTACTTCCACCTTTGGAATGCTGGGAGGTGGTATGCACTACCGTGATGTATTTTTGTTTTGTTTGGGTACAAGTGCTGTACCAGTTGAGCTACATCCTAGCCCCATGTAATCTCTTTTTCTTTAAGCTAATTTTTTTTTTTTCTGTGCCACTGTGTATGTTTTCATTAAATGGTTCTATGATTATATTAGATCCTTTGGCAGAATTTTTTTTCTTAAACCAAATTTCCTACCATCTTTTACTTTCAAACCACATTTGCTTACCAACTTAAATTTCACCCAAAACAGTAAACCTAAAACCTACAGATTAGTATCTCCTTTTCATTGTTACTGTTTGATATTGTTTGATATTTAATTAACACACATCCTCAAGTCAGGATGTGTGTTAATTAAATATCCTCAAAGTATTTTTGCCAACTGAAATTATCTCAAAATGCCATTTTGGGAGTGAAGGGGAGATTGGGATAATCTGATTAACATTATAGGTGAAAAATAAACAATACAGTTGTACAGTTGATTGCTTTCAGACTTGAGAAAAAAAAAA